GAGTGAGGGTTGCACAATCTATCCCAAGTCAGATGTACCCCACATGTTGGAAGGGGGGATTACACCCACTTTCCTTCCTCCCTCCTCTGTAAATCCATCCCTAGGTAAAGCACCAACTAGGACATTTTTTAAACCACTATCAGCTGTGTAACTTAACTCAAAGTGGAAAATCATGTTTCCTGTAACACCTGTCAAAAAAAAAGCGCCCTTGTAAAACACTTCTCACAAATTTAATAGGAGCTGGTAAGCACAGAAACAAAGGACAGTGAGAAAGTAAATTCTCCTTATTTTCTTACTCTTGTAACTGGTGTAGAATAGTGCTTTGTGTGAGCAGAACAAACAACTAAAAACAGTGCAATGAAAAATCAGCGCATTAGCTATAAAGATTATTGTTAAAATGTATACTTCATAGTTGCCTGCCATGATGAGTTTAGCAAACTTCCGTGATCCTGCAACATTGCAGCGTTCGCCAATATTAACGAAGTTGGTATATGGCCCAATCCTGAATGGCTCCAGACCTTAAAAAGATGTTTTTGAACATATTTGTAAAAACAGAAAAGAAGAAACTATGTAAGAAAGACAAAAGCCCTTTTCTAAACTGTGAAATAGGGGTGTCTCTCTCTTTAAGAATAGTGATTTCTCAGCACATCAGGATGTGCACAAACCTAATGAGTAACTAGCAAAGACATGCAATGAAACAACTTCCAACACATATGCCAAAGGTTTCTGTCCTCCCTCAATGACAGTCAATAATTTACCCGACCCACAAAAAATAACAGCCAGTTTGTCCAATATAAAACGACATGAAGCTACAATTCTTTGGGCATCTATGTGTATGCACAAACTCACCTTCTCTCAAATTCCAACTATGTTATCTCATGACCACCACGAGAGAAGGAGCCCACTGAATTGACTGACAAACAAGGACAACTCTTAACCATGGACCCAAGTTCAGAGAAATGAGCCAAGTGGGGCCCTTGGGTAGCAGGCAACTGTGAGGCAAACAAACCTTACAGCAGAACAGAATAAGCTAATGCATGAAACTACAGGCCAACCATGACTTACTTAATTTACGCTACACTGATTTGACTTTGAGATTAAAATACCAGCCCAAAAAGAAGGATATTACTTGGATACATGTCCCAAAGGCTTAAAAGAAGGCCTGGCTGAGGAACATACAGATCTAGACTTTGCTAAAACAGAAGACATTCTAGACCTGAATGTACTGCTGGAACACTGTCCCAGTATGACTGGATCGACATTTGAGGCAAGAGGGCAGTTGTCTCACAGCAGGTGAACAAGGATCTTGCCCCAGCTCTGCCATCAACTGCAGTCAAATTACCTGATCTCTCCGTGCTTAACCCTGTCCTGTTGCAAAGTGAGGATAAATATACTCACCATTACAAAGTTTCTGAGACTTGCAGAGTAAAATATGCTGGTTTGGTTATATTATACAAGATTGTAATAAGATGTTCCATTAATCCTTTGGCCAAAGCAGTAAGATTTAGATCTGGCTGCACATCCATAAGCTTGCTGGATTCAGGTAGAACCAGAAACTCATAGTGCCATTCTGATCAGCAGAAAACAGCAAATAAATTTATAAAGGAAGGCTGCATGAGTTAAAGCTCAAACTGTTACACTCCATTTTACCTGATAGCAGCATGTACCCTTGAAAGAGAGAAGGTGGAACACGAGGCTTACAGAATTTCACAGCTTCAGCAATTTTCCTGAGTTACAGAAAGAGGAAAGTAAAGAGGAAAGTTTTCGATTAAAATTAAACCACTCCAGACAAGACTCAATCAGAACATACTAGACATATATCTACATCTCCAATTTAGCCCTGTAGCAGACAAGCCTAATTAGTTTGTTTCACTTTCTGTGGCCAAAGGCAAAGACATACTCCCAGAAGATCCAGGCAAAAACATACTCCCAAAAGATCCTATCATAGCTATTTGCAGGGAATGTACAAAGCTAAGATTTATCAAATACAGAATGTGAGCTACTTCGCCAATGGGATACTTGATGGATATCAGAACCAGTCCTCAACCACACTTACCATATTCATGATTTGCTGAGCTGAGCAATTGCTGATTGCAGAAAAAAAAAAACAAACAAGGGACAAACATCTCTCCTATGAGGAAAGGCTGAGCGAGTTGGGGTTGTTCAGCCTGAAGAAGAGAAGGCTCCAGGGAGTCCTTATGGCAGCCTTCCAGTACTTAAAGGAGGCTTGTAAGAAAGATGGGGACAGACTTTTTAGCGGGGCCTGTAGCAAGGGGACAAGGGTTAACAGTTTTAAATTAGAAGAGGGCAGATTTCGACTAGATGTAAGGAAGAAATTTTGCACAAAGCGTGGTGAAACACTGGCACAGGTTGCCTGGAGAGGTGGTAGATGCCCCATCCCTGGAAACATTCCAGGTCAGGTTGGATGGGGCTCTGAGCAACATGGTCTAGTTGAAGATGTCCCTGCTCACTGCAGCGAGGTTGAACAAGATGACCTTAAAAGGTGCCTTCCAATCCAAACCCAAACCATTCTGTGACTCTGTGAACACTGTTCTGTGCTGAGATGTGTTTCTCAGTTGCCAGAATGACTCACAGTCTCCACATTGTCTTTCTCTTCACTCCAGTCAGAAGGGACACACAGTGTCATCTACATGTTCACACACCACCTCTTCCCAGTTTGTATCTGGGTAAAAATGAATCACAAGGGCCTCTTCTCTTTCAGGCCCAGGTGAAAAAGGGAGGTTTTCCCACTGACCTGCTTCCAGTGAGAAAGATACAAAATGCTCCTTCTGACTGGCCAGGACTAGCACCAGCTGTACAACATTCCCAGATCTCCTGTTCAGACATTTCTCTCCCCGCACCCACACAGTTTGCTTCCTTCTACCATCAAAGGAAACCTTAAGTTTCACTTTGTGGCTAAGAAGGCCACAAAGAGAAAGAACATACGACATCAGGGAGCAGAGATGGGAAGTCTATTCTATCCAACGGTAGAGAGGAAGGAGTAAATCCAAAACCATTTTAGATGGAAAAACAGCAGAGGTATTACCCTTCTTCGAACCATGCCTCTACTCATTCTTCATGCCACACATGGCTACTGAAAGCCAGGTTACTTCTACTCCGTATTTGCTGCTCTAGGCATTCAAGTGATCCATCTTTTCAGGAAACTCCAAGAAAGAACATGGAATATTGCTCCACAGAAGCAGCATTTAATTTATGTCCTAGTGCAGCTAAAGTTGTAGCTCATGGGGTACCTGATATGTGCTGGTGTAGTACCACAGCAACCTCCAACTATGTTGACCAAACCATCCAAAGCCAAATTCTGTAAAAGAGAGGGA